CCTTCCTTCCTTCCTTCCTTCCTTCCTTCCTTCCTTCCTTCCTTCCTTCCTTCCTTCCTTCCTTCCTTCTTTACATTAATCTCACGTTCTTCAGGCTAGTAATCAGGTCTGCCTTCCTGTAGCTTTAGCAACTTTGCAACATCAACTTTCCCAGTCTAATCATTCCCTAACCCCAAGAAACAGATTTCAAATTACTCACCTTGATCTCCTCTTGGACCTGGAGGACCCGGGGGTCCTGGGGGTCCAGCAAAGTAACTTTCTGTAGTAAAAGAACATCATTATCATCTTCAGCAACTACAACAGAGACATTAATAGACACAGCGACAGAATCCTGAGCTTTCTTTATTGGTCAGAACTCTCCTATTAATGTAAAGCTTGCCTTACTTGTGTCAAAGCATTCATAACAGCTGTCCCAGGATTGAACAATTACACATGGGAATAGGAACTTAGAAATCAAATGGAAATACGTACCTGATGTGGGCACAAAAGAACCTGGTCTCCCTGGTGGCCCTGGTAAGCCTTCTCCTAAGTAACAGAAATATTTGAGAGTATTAGTCCTAATTAGTACATAAATCTCTATGAAAGGTAATTCAAGTTATCTTTTTACAATAGATATATGACTGTGCCAGACTGCAGCACAAGACCCATTTAAGTGCACCTGGCTCTGTCTCTTTTGGTGTTCATATTCTTCTTCCTTCATTACTTTTTGATCACAGACTTCATTATTAAATTCCAGTGCAACTAGAGCAGAGAAAGCATCTACTGTGTGCCTGTGACATATTATGAATTGATTGGAATTCATGTTTGAGGTTAGCACAGTTGTTGAAAACATTATGAAACCATTGATTTTGTGAAAAGATTTTTTACCTGGTGGGCCACGGGGTCCTGGTGGGCCCTCAACAGAAGCACCTGTTAAGTGGAAAGAAAACAATTACCTTGGATTCAGATAAAACAGTGACAAAGTGTGATGGAAGGCATGAGAAGGGAGGATTCTGGAAGGGAGCTTCAAGGTTACAGGGAGGGGGAGTGACATCCCAAGCATCTCCTCAGCCCCCAGCTGGACTATGTGAAAGTAAGGAGGAAGAGACTGGCCCCTCCTTAAGGGCTTGGTGGTTATAGTTGCTCTCATTGGGGATTAAGAGTTAGTCTGACAAGATTCTGTCTATTAGGTGCAAGCTAATAAAGAAGCTGAGCTGATTTCCGGACTCTCTCGTGTGATTCTTGGGCTGAACCTGACAGGGGCCTTTATACTG